TCTCCTGGCAATTGTGAAATAGGGAACTGAGTCTGTCAGACTGAGAAGATTATAGAATCTGACCTCCCTCTACCCAGGAAATATAAACACTTGCCCACTTCTATAAATGAGACTTTACCACTATTCTTCAGGTTGCTTTTTGATTTAAATGCTCAGGTCTGTTTTGGTTTGTGATAAACTCAGTGCTAGCAGTGTTTGTCTCTGCATTCAGTATATCTGAAGCATCCCCTCAATGAGGGAACTTTGCTTTGGAAATTCCTGGTTTGTGAGCCCCGAAAGATTAGTAGCTGTCAAAATTCTCAAATTAGATAGAATCATGGTGGCTCAAGGATGCACAGCAGCATCAATGTACAGACAATTTCAGGCGGCTAGAGTAATTTGATGTTGAAAACAAGTGAGCACAAAGACACTCAAGTGCCCAATTTTATGTCTACGTTGCTCTGAAGTGGCAGAAGTATATTCAGTACCATGTAGCGGCTGCCCTGCATGCGCATAACAACCTAATTGACATCTTGTTCAGTCAAGGCTGGGAACAAATGGTCATGCTTAACATTTTTGGCCATGCAGATTCCTATTGTGCTCGAAGCTTCCTTGCAGGCTTATACTATAGAATACAGACAACCTTGACCTTCAGAGCAATTCTCCACCCAGCCTTAAGTGGTACCGTAGATGTAACCTTAAAGGATGGACAAAATTTTTCTTTATCACAATCTTTTGTTTAGGTGGCTATAATCTTCCTAAATTCATCTGTAGGCATCTACTTGCTCTTAGCATTCAATGTCAAGTGATCTCTAAGTTTCGCTTATGTCATCTTTCGTTATAATCTAAATCAGCTGCCACTTCTTTTCCAAGTACCGCCCTGCTCAGGAGGAAACCAAACTACACTTACATAGTGCAGCATACCTAAACTGAAAAACCTCCTTTTGCTATTGTGCAACAGCCAACTTGTAAAACTTGCTTATGTGGGAAATAGCACATAATATATGTCCAGTAACTATATAAATGAACACTCTACCAAACCAAACCATGGCACAGACGTAGACTAAATTTGTCAATGCATGTTAGAGCCCCTTCTTCGAAGGCCGAACGACTTTCTACAACTTCTCTGAAAACATACTATTTTCAAAAATTTCCAGATGACAGTCAGTCTATCTTTTTACTAACTGGTGATGATACTTAACTGAGATTGTAAAATCTTTTTTCCAATGTTAGTAGAGATGTTTTTCGACCAGTAGTTAAACCGGTCTTGCAACTGCCTCTTTATTACAAGGTCAGCGTTTTCTTGTGATCAGAAGTGGAATTCATGGGTAAGTCACATGAAGGTGTGATTCAAGATATGCTGTTCATATGAATTCTGAGATGCATCTTCCTCATTACTACAGTCTCATGCAACTTTGAACCTGTATTGGTGGAGGGAGCAAGAGGCAGTCAGGCCATTTTCATGCTGAGTGGACGGAGTGCCTTACACAGTTGACCAAAGTAATCTTTTCACATAAATGGGAGTTATTAATATAAAAAAGTAATGTCCATAAGAAAAATGTCATCATAAAATGTTGCTGTTCATGAAGTAAAAAGTGAATTTTCTGTATGGATAAGTGGTTGATATTTGAGCGTGTCCTTCTAGAGAGGATATTATTTCAAGGACTTCTGTGAGATCCTATACAACTTTTCAGGGGTCTCACTTCTAAAACGGATTTAGTAAATCTTTCCTGCTTTCTAAATGAAAAGTAAGCCAATGATAATAAACATTTCCCAGTTGTTTATTAATAAGGACTGTGAAACACACAGAATTGTTAATGATATTCAGTGAAGTCTCCCTGCATTTCCCAGTCTAACATTGCCGCTTTTAGCTGTGGCAGGTTAAGAACTAATGCTGTTCACCCGTCTGTGTTGTACTTGGCATTCTAGTTTTAAATATACTAGGTAAAAAGCTATTTTTAGCCTAAGAGTCTACTCAGTACAACTGGCATTAGCAAAATCCTTTATGCTGGAACCTGATCAGTGGCAATGGGAATGTTTAGACAGCAGATTTCTAACAAGTTCATACTAAGTGCATTGGCCAATTTGTTTTCACAGCAATCACAGAATACCTTCCTAACAATGCAAGTGCACATTTGTGCTGTTTCAAAAGTAAAGATAAGGCAAAATTCATAAATTCTACAAGTAACAGAAAGAGCTCTGGAGAAAGGAGCAGGAAAATGAAGCTACATCTGTGTTAAGTTGTACAGCACCAGAGAAACAGATCCGTGGAATGAAGCAGTTAGTACAAAGGAACTTAATGTCCCCACTATAAACATTTCAAGAGATTTTATTCTGGGCTAGCTCTAGTCTGCGCAGTGGACTTACGGAAAGGCTTTAGGTATACCTCTGGAGTGCAAACTGGTTTAGTTTCATCCAAAGGGTATCAGTTTGCATGCTTTGAAACTGCTCTGTGATACGAATCAAAGTTCGTTAAGTGGAAGCTGTAGGTTCCTCACTTAAAAATTGTAGTCTTTGTTTGAACTAGAACACTAATGTAGATGCATCCTTGTGGAATAAAACAAACCACAATTTTTCAAATATAAATTTAAAATTCACTTACTTGTTGAGAAATGTCATAGTTCAGCCCAGCTGGCAACTAAGCACCATGCAGCTGCTTGCTTACTCCTCCTTCCCTGGTGGGATGGAGAGGAGAAGAGGCCAGAGGGTCAAGATAAGAACAGGGTGGGATCTCTCACCAATTATGGTCATGGGCAAAACAGATTTGGCTTGGTGAAAAAAAGCCATTTAATTAATTACTAATCACATCAGAGAGGATAGTGAGCAACAAAGCCATATCTTAAAAACACCTTCCCTCCACCTCTCCCTTCTTCCTGGCTCTACCCACTCCCCTCAGAAGCACAGGGGGACAGGGAACGGGGGTTGCAGTCAGTTATTCACACACTGTTTCTACCACTTCTTGCTCTTCAGGGGGAGGACCCCTCACACTCTTCCCCTGCTCCAGTGTGGGGTCCCTTCCCATGGAAGACAGTTCTCCATGAACTTTTCTGATGTGAGTCCCTCTCATGGAGTAAAGTCCTTCACCAACGGGCTCCCCCAGTGTGGGCTTCCCACAGAGTCAAAGCTTCCTCAGGTGCAGACACCTGCTCCGGGGTGGGGTCCTCCACGGCTGCAGGTCTTCACAGACTGTCCCACCTTTAATCTCCAGCTCCAGCGCCGTCTTCCCATGGAGTCACACCCTTCTTCAGGCACAGCCACTGACTCCAGCATGGACTGCTCCACGGGCTGCAGGGGGACAGCCTGCCATCTCACCAGGGGCTGCGGGGCAACCTCAGCTCCAGCGCACCTCCTCCCTCTCCTCCTTCGCTGACCGTGGTGTCTGCAGAGTTGTTTTTGTCACTGCCCACTTCTCTCTCCGCTGCAGCTGTGCAAGGCCACCCTGCCCTGCTGGGTGAGGAGGGGGGTGGGTGGGCAGGCCAGCGCAGGCAGCTGCCCACGGCTTCACCCTCTCTTCACGGCAGGTCCCACGTGGCGCAAGTTTCTTTGTGCCTTCTTGAATATGTTGTTCACAGAGGCACTGCTCAGCTGTGCCCTCGCCAGAGGCAGGTCCAACTGGGAGTCGGGAAAGCTTCTAGAGGCTCCTTACAGGGCCCATCCCTGTAGCCATCACCTCTACCAAAACCCTGCCATGTAAAGCCAGCACAAGAAGTAACTTTGTTTACAAAATGACCCCTACTAGATTAGTAGATTTATAAATTCACTTTCTCAGTCCTGGTGAATTACTGTTGCTGTACTGGATTCAATAAGGTTAGCTGATTTACATTCACTGAGGATCTAATCCATGAACTTCAGAATCCGGTGTGAAGTTCCATAGGTTCACAGTCACTAAAGATAATTAGTTGGGAAACTAAAGCATGGTTCAATGAGAGTTGTTTTTTTTTTCAAATTGATTGCTAATATCAATGTTGATGAGAAGATTAATTGTCTTTTGTCTTAGAACTTTAAATTGCTATGAAAAGCTCAGCCATTTACACTTTAGTGGGTTTATAGACATATTTATTAACATAATCAACACATGCTTTATATTTCATAATAAAGTAGCCTCATGATATAAAGATTTGTGAATTGAAACCAATTTTTCGAAAGAACTGTCATGCATCTAACATAATCCAACTGTAATAATAGCAGTATGAGGCTTACATTTTCAAAATTATGTGTATAGGCACATTCCATTAACATTAATGGCAGTTACAAGGCTAAGGATCAAATTTTTCACTGAGTTAATCCTCTAACTCCCACTGATTTTCGTGATCTTAGATTACTAAATATTTTTTAAAGGCCTTCAGCCATACGTTTTTAAATATATGCAGCTCAGACTGTATTATCAGTACAATGAGTATATTTATTGGCACAGTTTTGATCTATATCTAGATAGCTACTGATTATATTTCTGTATACAATGTACAACAATCTCCTTTGAAGATTTAATTGTAAGTGCATTTTGTGCAGAGGCAGTACACCGTTTAGAGGTCATTTTCTATGCTTGGAAAAAGAAAAAACCTAACAGTTGAAGTGAAATAAAAATGTCATTTATATGATGCAGTGTCAGATATGGAAATCAAACAATGTACAAAAGGTTCAGGCTTAATTTTCCTGAAGCAGAAGAAATGAGAGGCATTTCATTTTTGTAGGTGAGAAGTGAAATGTTCCTCTCTGCTCACTGATAGAGGCATGCTAAGGTGAATTTTAATTATGACTAAATTGTGGTATTACTCTTTCATACCCTGAACATCTGTTCCCTTCAGGAATGATGATTTATGCAGGCTATCACTGCAGACAGCTTGCTACAGCTTATGTCACGGTTAGTAGGAAGCTAGTGGTAGTATTTCAGAAAATACCAGCATCTAAGTGGAGACAGGCCAGTGTATATTTTTAAGGTAATAGGGAAAGGGGAGCATGATGTGTCCGTTTTTAATTTTGAAGCCAAATATTGACTTTACTTTTTTTCTGCTTTCTTTCAGACCATCTGTCATTAATGAAGAACATCTTTTGGACAGTGAATGGCCTGGTTGTCCATAGTGGGATCAAGCAAAAGAAAACCAAGCCTGTGATTTCCAGCTGTCTGTAGAAAATTATTGAGGGCATCTTTGACAGAATTTTAGTGTTTAAGAACCGCACAGGACAGGATAACTATAAGACTATTGCATCACAAAATCAAATTGAAAAGGTAACCTTTGTTTATTAGCATGTTTGAATGAATGCATCTCCAAAGTACCTTCACTGTTACCATGGTTTTATTGCTTTCAAATAGTTATAGATTATTCTTAAAAAAAAACAGCACAAAAATCCCTTAATTTACAAAGCCTTGCAATTCAACAAAACTGGGGTTCTATGTGTGTTCAAGTTAGATAAGGTGAATTTTACTTCGGTGCTCCCTCTTTCCTGAAATTCCCTGCTCTTTAATTTACTTGTCTTTGCCTAGTAGCCTCCTTGCTTCTGATTATGCCTATTTCTTCTAGTTTTGTGTGTGCTAACAGTATGTTATCTGAGGATTTATTACCAAGAAACATTATTTCTAGGATTATGTGAGGCATGGGTTATATGTTTGAAAATACTGTCAGTTTTGATTAGGTTAGATATTTAATTATAAATATTCAATAGTTAAAATATACTTTTTTAAAAGATGTGAAACTGTAACCGTATAACAACATATTTTATAATTATGGTATATACAGGAATCTTTTTCCTGTATAATGCGTTTTAATAATTTCTTGGCAATTCAGTAGGTTTTAGTAGAATTGATACGCTGTCCTTTTTTTCCAGTAAGCCTAGAAGAGTACATGTATGTGTCTGTCATGGTTTGATGTGGGGGGGGGGTGGTTCTGGTGGCAGGAGAGGGGTTTTGCTCCCTGCGACCTCCCCGGTTTTGGAAAATAAGTATGGCATATATACTTTATTTATATACTTTATTTCACCTAATTTCTATTATTACTCTGTGATATATTTGAAATAAGTTTCTAAAAATAATTTTTAAATACTTTTCAAACCTAGGGCTGATTCACAACATGGAGTACTTTGCAAAGATTTCCACTAGATGTAAGGAATTTTGAATGCTTGGAATATTAGCATTCAACTTTCTCTGAATTGTGTAATCCAGGTTCTTTTAAGTCTGTGGGACAATTATAATTTCCATATACTAAAATAATACCCAGGAGAACTACATCTGGCTCAGTTAATGAAAGGTCATATGTCTGTCAGTTTTGTAACGTTGCCTGTGATAGATATCACCCTGTATTCTGTAATATAAACCTAGTTTTACTACTGTCAGCATTGGTTCTAATACATATCAAGAAATTGCAGGCAAATGTGAATAATAACAATTCTGCAAAAGATGTTCTTAGAACCTGTTTTCTAACTAGAACATTCACAATACTTTCAACATGATGAGGATAGTCAAAACACAGAGATCAAACTTGTCTGTATATCAGAGCAAAAAAGTTCAGTGATAATTTTTGAACATCACACAAAATCAGTAGTTTGATACAGTATTCATCAGTCTTTGTTTTTTCCATGGGGATGTCTTGACCTAGAACATTAGTTATTAAACTGATATCCATGAGGCCTTATAGATGTGTGGCCTGCTTGTAAAGAGTATCCAAAAGTGACTGAGGCCATAGTTTTGAGTACATTTCAAGTCAGTGTATTCCAACACTTGTGCTAAAAGAAGCCTCCACCACTTGTGCCCTGTCATTGTGGGACTTGGGCAGCTCCTGTGACAGCACAAGGGTTTTCTTCCATCATTCAGTGAACCACATAGGGAAGATGACATTTGTCAAAAATAAACCAGTTAAAATCATCAATTTTAATCTGGAATAGTTTCTAGAATCTGATTCATTGCACACCCACATAAATATTGCTGCCAGCATAAGAAAAAAAGTCGCATGGGAGTGAAAACAATCAAGTGAGTTTGAAAAACTGTTGGGAAAATTCTGACATGTATGTACTGCTGGTGAAGGGGAAGGAGAACTAAAGCCAATAGAAAAGTTCTATGTTTATATGCAATTCACATTTGAATCTTAAATATCTGATCCTCTACTGCAAGATGAATGTATAAAGGTCAACACATTTAAAATAGATTGAAAATCCGTGTCTCAATTATTAGTGCAACAGAAAGTATAAAATAAAAATGTTTTTAAATCTTCAAAATGGTATTTCATCCAGTCTAGTGATTTAAAAAGAAAACATATTTCATGCTTATAAATTGAAAACAAAAACAAATGACTGTAAAAATTGCAATACTGTGTCAGACTGGACTTTCATCTAGTCCAATATCCTGTCTTTGAGTCGGTGTCTAAAGAAAAGTGGAAGAGTAAAGGCAGCATATGGTACATATGGTGCATATGTTGATAATTTCTTAGCATACTCCCCTCATCTGGGACAACCCCAGTCATGGTGTAGTCAAATCACAAAGAATATATCAGAAGCAGAACATTTTCCTTTTCCTTGAATACAATCATTACTTGTTATTTGAATGGGGCATTATTCTTTCCATTTGGAGTTTCATTCACTTAGCATGATTTAAAAAAACAATTGGAATGTGGTTTTTTTTTCCTGTGTATAATAAGCAAATGCTTGGCAGATTGTTGCTACTGTATGACAAGTATGTTTGTTTCTCTGTAGTCCATAACAATTTCTTTTCAGACTTTTACCTGTTATTGAAAAAGAGGTAGACCAGTTATGCAGAGCGGTGTGAATTCACCAAACACTGGTGATATCTTGGCAGGAAGGTCTAAAGTGCAACTGAGGGATGTTTGATTGATTCATTTTGTTCTGAAACCTTGACAAAAGTGATAACATTCTCTCTTCGGTTGTGCTAGATCCATATCACTGAATGAATGAGAAAAAAGGACACTGAACAATTGCTATTTCTGTTTCAACTCTCAAAAAGGCAGATTTGCCAGACCGTGCAATCTTCTCAGTCTTCCTTTTTTTTTTTTTAATATTTTTTTCATATTTGAACTAGTATGAAACAATTTTTCTGTCCTGCCAAAGTTTAGAAAATGTCTAAAATGTCTAGCTCGTACTGAGCTAAGATCTTTCCAAATGTTTTTTAAGACAGAGATGTGAGACTAGAATTTGATAGGGGAACTTTAGTACAGATCCACATTCTGTTTGGTTCTGATTAGACTTGAATCTGGTTCTCCTGAATCTGTTTGAGATGGATGTTTTCAGTTAGGCAGCTGCCTAGGAAGCTAAGGAATCTTTAGTTGTAAAGAGTCAGAATCTACAACTATCAGAGGACCTTGACTCCATTGTAAGAAATTGTATATTTGCATGTTTTTCCATCTTCTCTTGCTGGAAGAAGTGTTCTGAGTTAGGCTAGAATTGGGTCAGAAATATGGTGTTTGGGCCCAAATATGGCAAATATGGACAAAAATGGGCAAATAGGGAGGAAACGTTGTATTTTAGCAATCCTAAGTGGTACGCAATACCTTCAGAAGAGTTCCATGTTTGTGCATGTTAGAACAGCATCAAAGCTACTGTGATTATAGTTGAAAGTGAAAAAAAGGAAAAAAAAATTCAAGGAAACACAAAACTTTATTGATGGTGTATTCTCTTTTATTTTAAATTGTATATCTTTGGAGAGACAGCATCTCTCCTAAGTTTGGTGTGCGATGTCAATTGTGGAATGTGGATTCCATTGAGGCCGGAGATGTATTTTTCACACTTATAATAATGTATGTTATTGCAGTTGAATGTGGAGTTTTTAGAACATGACACGTTCCGCTTAAATTTTACAAGACTGATGAAATTTTTCTTTATGCTTTCGCTCTGTTTTCTCTATGAAAGCCTTGAAAAAGACAGCATAAGATATTGACCTGACTGACCTGGAATAGGCATGATAGGTGAATAATGTCATTAGTATTTTCCTCTTGCCTTTTCTTTTCAACAGTTCCATGAACAATGAATTTCTCATGGTCAAAGTATTGCCATTTCTGTCATCAAAAAGTAACTTGTGTGCTATCTATCTTAGACTTTCTTCCAGAGGATGACAGGTAATTTCACTAGCATCATTTCAGTGACAGTTTCTACTTTAATCACGCAACTCCTATAGTGATGATTCACCTCTTTCATAAAATTTGCATTCACTGAATAGTATTGCACAGTATAAAAACAGCTATTGTATATATTCTCAAGTATTATGATTTCTGTACAAAGTAGAGAAAGGTAAGCTAAATATTCAATAATCAATTATATTGAAATATGTGTAGAAAGAAAATAGTATTTAAAATGATGCTTTCAAAAAAACCATGTTTTAACTTGACTAAGGTATATGTCTTTATGTTATTCATTCTGAAAACCTGGTTCAGCATAAAATGATAATAGTGGGAGGATTCTCTCTAAAACCATAGCTGTACTGCATGACTAGGAAAAATCTGAACAATGTGGACATGGACAATAAGCATAATTTAGAATTTGACTATGAACACAAGAAATGGCTTGTGATATCTCCTATTGTGATGGTGCATAACGAGCCAAAACATTATTATGTTTGAAGTGAGTTGTTCCAAATGTGTCTAAAGGAGAGTTTCTGTCTTTGCTAGCAGAATAAAAAGTTATTTAGAATTAAACATTTAAACTAATACAAAAACATGTATTTGTATGTTTAATGGGAATCAGAGGTTAAGTTAAGCAATTGTGACATTTCTGGAGTTTAGCATATCTTTTTACTCAAAACATTCAAAGCATGCATGCTCTAGTCAAAATACGCAGTTAGCATAAAGCTGTAGTAGGGAAAATCAAGCTCCTCTCTCTTCTGCAGCACCCTGTGTAACTCAAATGTGCACTAGTAGGCTATATGCTTTCTATGCCAAAGAGTCTTTTGCTCAAGTCACTGAGTAACTTTTAAGACATTGGTACCTTATATTGTTTTTCTACTATGACCATACATGGTCTATAAATATGCATGAAAAAATTTTGTGCATCTTGTCCTGTAGCTAAACTAATTGGAATTGATAACAGTTTTCTTCCTAAATCTTACTTAGTCTGCCTATAAAGTCTTTGAAGAACTTCCTGTTACCTGTGTGTGTACAGCATCTGATAGAAGTAGATTCATTTTTCACAAGC